ATCAGAGGAGGGCCTACCAGTGCCGGACGGTCTTTTAGGCTTAGAGATGAGAACATTGAGATTGTGGAACCATCTACTCAAGCACCTAAAAAGAAGATTGTGACCCGTGGTGGTAAAGTGAAGAAAACTGCCCAAAGAAAATTGGTTACTCCAACTGCTGAACCATTTGATGAGCAGATGGAAGAGCAGAACTTTGAAGGAAACATTGTTGGTGGAAATAAAGAACCAGAGCAGGCTACCCAGGGTGATGAAACTGTCACAAGAACATCTGGTAAAAGAAAGAGAACTGCAAGAAGGAAGAACACTCCCCAATCCAAGAAAAAGCAATCTGCTAATCCCTCTGTTGATCAGCAGGATAAAGAAAACATTGCTGAGAATCAGCAAACACCTGAACCCTCCACCAGGAAGTCTCCAAGGACAAGATCTGAGGCTCAAAATATGGGAGCATCTGCCACACAAACCTCGAAAGGGAAACGCTCTGGAAAGGATCCAGTATCTCAGCCCGTAATAGAACCCACTTCTCTTCCAAAATTCATTGATGATGAAGCCAGAGACAGATTTGAGTTGGTCTCTCAAAAAGGGTTCATCACCTAAAGGCTCATCCTTCCCTACGAATTTCGTAAGCTTGATCTTGAACCTATTATTAAACTGTTTGAATTCCAAAAATGGGTTCATCTTCTGACCATTCCTAATACCTTTTACCCTGACATGCTTTATCAATTCTTTGCTAATCTTAGAAAGGGTAACTCACACACAGAACTCATCTCTAGGGTCAATTCTGTGAACATCACATTAACACCTGACATTGTAAACTCCATTTTGAAAACAAAGATTGAAGATGGTTACAAAGGAAAAATTACAAATTTCTTTTCATATGAGAAATTTCCTTCTGCTTACCATCATTTTTACAATGCTAAACTCATGACCTACTTTCAAACCAAATTCAATACTCCTGCTGAGGCAAGATTAGATGATCTCAGTCCTCAGAATCTGATCATCTTCACCATCATTTCAAATCTGTTGGTGCCAACTGATGGCCACAGAACAGATGCAAACAAAATGGAACTCTATCTTTTCTACTATTTTGTTGAAAAAATCCGCATTGACTTTGATTTTGTGATGTGCAAGTTTCTGCTCAAAATTAGCACTGATAGTCGTAGAAAGCTCTCTTATGGTAAATTTCTAACTCCTATCTTTGCCCATTTTGAAATACCTTTTTCTGAAAAATCACCCAAAGACAGTGCTTCAACAGTCTTTTCAAAAGCTTATTTTGAAAGAAAGAACTTAAGATTTTTTGATGGCCATTGGTACTATAAGGAGACTGTGGCTGAGTCTAGAAAAAAACTTTCATGAAACCCTTGTCACTCCTAGAACTTCTCGTGATCAGTCAGACTATGTCTCTCCTTTCACCATTCACCCTAGAAAGTCTGCCAGCAAGTCCTTCTCTTCCAATTCTGAGGTCATCTCCTTGCTTGAAGACCTCAAACAGCATGTTTCGCTTATTGAAAATGGTCTCATGATGACCATGACCTCTGCCCAACAATCCTCTTTCATTGAAAAAAAGAACCTTCTTGTGCCTCCAATACCTGATATCAATGAAAATATTCATGGGAAAGAGCCAAGATCTGAGCCCACAGGGCTAACTACTGATACTGAGGCCACTCCAGTTTCCAGCTCTCAGCCCAAGGATAAAGGCAAGGCTCCAGCAACTGAGGAAGCATATGAAGAAGACGATGAAGAAACTGAGGAAGAAGAGGACCCTGAACAGTTTCGTCTGGCCAGGAGGAGGCCTGGATCATCTAAAATCACTATCTAGGCACTGCTAGATCACTGCACCTTATTTTAGGACTATAGTTCATCTTTTGCATTGTAAAACATTTCACTGCACCTTGTTGTACTTCTGGTTTGTACAACTGAATGTTTTCTATTGTTTATGGATGTTATGACTAAGTGTTTCTGATAATATCTGCTGAATGGATGTGTTTGTTATGAATGAATGTTTCTGATGATTTCGGATTGTGTTGAGCATGAATGGATTTTGCTGATATTATCTGATTGAAAAATCTTTGTTATCAAATTGCGTGGATCAAAATTGATCAGACATGGCATACCCACTTTTGTGATGACAAAAAGGGGGAGAATTGGATTAGCACTGATGGTGTAAAGTAACTAGTTAGAGGGAGTTGCGTTTCTTCTCGTATACTCATGCACTTCGTTAGGGGGAGTTGTAATCCTAGTTCGTATATTTTTGCTCTATCTAAATGTTTTGTCATCATCAAAAAGGGGGAAATTGTTTATCTCAATTCATATCTTTTGATGATTACAAAACAAACGGATGCTACTAATACTTTTGTAGAAACCCTTTTCAGAAATGACACTAAACAGGTCTGTGGACTTAGAACAAAAAGAAGATCAAAAAAGGTGAAAAGTGTTGAGGAAGATGTCGAACGCACAAAAGGAGAGTATCGGACGTCCGACATCCATTGAGTAACTTCGGACGTATGAAGAACTCAGACTCGGACGTCCGAAGAAGACAAGCCAGGGCTTCTACGATTACTGATCACGATCGGACGCTCAACACCTGAGCATCGGACGTCCGACAAGCATTGCTGCACTTCGGAATCAACACATTGGACGCATCGGCCGTCCGAAGGAATTGAAAAGGAACCTCCAAATCTGCATCTTACCCTCAGACGCATGGTAATAGGGGATCGGACGTCCTAAGAGGCTCAAGAAGATTTCTCAAATTCATTGACCTCGTTCGGACGCATAAAAACTGAATATCGGACGTCCGACAGCACCAACGGCTAGTTGACTCTTCAGTTGCCTTCTATCCGTTGACAGCATTAATTGAAGAATTTCTTGGTCTCCTATAAAAGGAAAAAAGTCAACCACCTCAGAGTAACTTTGCACATCCAGTCTACATCAAATAGTGAGTGATTCAAGTGGTTGAATACTCAAAAAGGGATTATTTGAATTCTCAGATTGTGCAATTTTCTTGTAGCTTTTCAAGTGTGACTCAGCTTCTTCAATAGTGTAGCTTTGTGAGGGTTATCAGAGTGTTTGTAAAACTTCCTTGCTTGACCAAGTGTGGTTTGGGGCAAGAAGGAAGTGATCCTTCCATTGTACACAGAAATTGGTTGCAAGTTTGTTCAACTTGAAGTAGCTGGTTATATAAAGTATTGTTCAAACTCAAGTTGAGTTTGAAGGCTGGTTTGTCTCTTTACTTTCGTTTACAGCTTTACTATATAAACTGTTCATCTCTTCATCTCACGAACAATTGTGCTTTCTTGTAATCTGATCCATTCAGTGGTCTTCGAGAAAAGGAGGGCAGGCCTGAAAAAAAGTGACCTATATCTTAGCTGGTTTTAGAAAACCTAATTCACCCCCCCTCTTAGATTGTTTTCGATCCTTACAAGTGGTCCGCCGGACAATACTCTTCCTTTTTCCTTCCTTTTTCTCTCTCTCTTTTATCTTTTTTCAAAATTGAAGCCCAGATAGAATCGAATTTCCCCAATTTGCAATTCCCTCTCTTCCTCTTGAATTTTAGCATTTTGCCCCCTTTTCTTCTCTTTTCCTCTTCTTTTGAAAAAATCCTCCAATCTCCTTCCCCGGTGTGGGGTACGATCATAAGTGCTTTTGAAAAGAACCACCCATTTTAGCTCAAATGAGGATGCAAGGGGTAAATAGTGTTTAGGTTGTAGAAATGATGGCCAAAGCATCATTCTTACGCCTCATGACAACCGAAATAACGAATTGCTCATTGAGAATCCACTCCTTTTTTATATTTGAAATTTTTCAATGTAGGGTAATGATCATTAAGGCTCTCATTTGAAATGAAATTATTCTGTTAAAGGCTCAAATGGGAGAGTAAATGATAACATCTGTATAGATAGAGAAACGAACACTTGAAGTATCATTCCAAATTTTCCAAACAAATAAGAATAATGTACATTTTTGCTTTCACTTAGATGTGAATTGAACCTGATTAGACACGGTGGACACTTTCAAGCAAAGATTGCCCCAATTTACAATTTATCACTCAATGTGACTGATTTTTGGATGGCTAATAGCAGTGGGCAAAAATATGAATTGTACAGTGAAGGAGAAAATGGTATCGTATTGGGTCTTTTAAGTGACCTTTTTAATTCTGAGCACTCTTATTGCATAATTTGGATCACCAATCTAGTGTATACATTTGTGAGTTTTCAGGCAAGAGATTGAAAAAATCTCAATTTAATCTTATTTCTTAAAATTCATCATGAAATCTCTAATGAGCAAAATAAAAGAAAGAAATATATATGATTATACACAAACAATGATTGTCTAAATAACAACTTATTGCTAAAAAAGTTTAAGACAAAATTATAATACAAATGAGACGAGAAAAACTCCTAAAGAGCTCCACATATACATACTTTTTGACTCCTATTCTTTTGGAACAAAAATGTATTAACAAATCAAATAAACAAAATTTTCTTTTTGACAAACAATTATGAAGTCTCTTAGATGCTTTAGCCTAGCGCTTCCAAATGGATTCTTCAAATTGTAGGATCTGCCCAAAAATCAAGTGATATTTGTAAATTTTCAAAATTTATTAGATGAAATCGTTATCAGATATTAAAAATATTTTCATGATGAATCCCTCAGAGTAACACCAAATTCTATATCTATTTTTTCGTGATTTCTCCCAATTCCATATTGAACTTAGAAGTTGCCGAATCAGTATTTTCTCTAAAATGTATTTTTTTCCATGCTTTCTTTTAAAACAGAGATGACCAGTGGGATGCTGCTCGTGGAATTCTCAGCATCTGATCTCATCAATTTTTTGGATTTTCTGTTATAGTGGTATGGCCAAACCTCTTTGGGTTTTTTGTCTCCTTTCTTATCTAATCTTTTTCTCCTTTACTCTTTTATTATTTTTATCAATTTCATGCGCAGGTGCTGCAATTGGACATTTCTTTGGTTCTTTTCACTTACACGCTTGTCTCATCAATTTATTGGAAGTGGTTTAGGTTGTTATGGGATAATGTAATGAGTTTACGTTTCTTTAGATTGAGGCTGATTTACAGATGGTAATTTATAATTCTTCAGTTTTTTATCACTCCCCGTCTACTTGAAATAAATTTTGAATTTAGACTTAATTTTTGTTTTAAACTTGTTTTCTTTTTTTTTTTGGCAGAATTCCATGTTCAAGATGGAAAAAAAACTACTTGATTACGTGGCTGAACATATTCAATAGGTGAGTTTGTGAATTCTCATTATTTAGGATTTTGACCATTCTTAATGATTGTTTCTCAAACATATACTTTTTATTAACTTTAATCTGAATCAAATGGAGTTGTCATGGTCTTATCTGTCATTTAGTCTGGTTAGTAGAGATGGTTTGTTTGACTTTCAAGAGTGTTTTAAGAAGTCCTATGTTTTTTATAAAGTGGCTATGTATTTCCAATATAATTTGTAAATTAGTTGTTAAATATATGGTTAGTGTTTTATATCTTGTTGTAGCGCTTGAAAATTGTCTAGCGGTCCTTAGGATTCCATCTCTTGGTGCTGATTGGTTGGTTTTTTTATGAATGTCTCATGGAGTTTGTACCATGACCAATCATATGTAGTTGATCACCTTGCTTATGAAAGGGAGTGGTATTTGCTACATGCAAAGTAAAAGAACCTTTTGAGCATCCAAAGAGGCTTTGATTTTGTCAATGATAGAACAAGGATTTGCTTAATATGAATTAACAATTCTATGCTGTACCAGAACTTGAACAACATCTTCCTTAAATTGATGACTTGAAATTTTGTCTAGGGATTTTATTAGCTAGAGACTATGCAAGAGCTCTTGCATGAAATTTCATTAGTGTTAAGATTGGTAAAATCACGTAGGACACTACAAATTTGACTACATTGATGGCACATATCTTATCCAATTACTGTTTTAATATTTATAGAAATTTTACACTGCCTTTAAATTGTTTTTCAGTAGTCTATGATGCAAGAGGAGGATTCCTAAAACTAATAGATTTGTAGATGTAAATTACAGCTCCAGTAGCTATTAGCTATTGAGGAGTTAGGTCTATCTTTGCAAAGGCTAATATCATCAAAGAATGGTATGGCATACATTACAACTGAACTTTATTACATTATTGTTGCCACACATATGTACTAAAGTAAAGTCATCCATTTTACATCTTTTTTCTTTGAATTGGCAATCAGGAAGCAAGAGGTAGAGCAATACCAAAGAAAAATTCAGTTGTAAGCAAGTTCTTTACAATATATTATGAGTATACAAGAGAGTTGCAGGTTTAAATTGTATTCATTGTTTCTGAATTGTTTTGAGCTATCTATGTGATTGGCCATACCATTCTTGAAGAAGGCAAAATACTTGTTTTACAATATATTATGGCAAACACAAATCTCATTTTATCTTTCCATACCTATCTGTGTGATATCGCAGGAGTGTTTCTTTTACTGCTTTTGTCTTCCTATTATTACCTACTAATCTGTTTTACTATCAGATGTATGAAGTCAAGCCTTGTGTATGGTTTAGTGGTTATCTTTTTGGCAGGTACATTTAGACTTGTGTGACTAATTTTGTTAAACTGTTAGACTAGTTTGTGTTATATAAATACAATAGGAATGACATTGATAGTTTGATCACAGGTACTTTTTGTCTGATTGTTACCTATTAATATATTTGTCTCAATAGTAGACACATGAATCCAGAACTGTCTTGTGATTTAGTAGTTATTTATATTCTAGGTAGGCATTTTGAAACTTGTATGCCCATTTTTGTTAAAGTGTCTACCTCAGCTTGCTTTATAATGCAGAAAAGTCATTGCTAATCTGACCATAATTATTTAGTTGATATCTTTGTGGCTATATAGGTATAGTTTTTAAGCTTTTGTTCTCTATCTTTTGTCTTTTTCTTCATTTTGTTCCCTTTAGAATTTTACTTTTAATGACTCTGGTATGTTATTTTTGTTCCTTCAAACTGAATCCTCATTTCTTGTTCAGTCATGTTGTGACAGCCTCACCTCCCCCTAAGGCGAACCAGAGGGTTCAGCGGACCGCCTGCCCAACTCTCGCCGGGACTCAGTCAAACCTCAATCAAATCCGAAATAAAACCACAAGATCAAATGAAATAACAATCCAAAACTTAAAGCGAAACTTATATACATTTCTATCTCAAAAGGAAGTACAAATATCGAATATACAAAGGTTCTCAATTCGTCATACATCCAGTCCGTGCCAAGCACTAGGGCGAGAACCATTACAAAACACAAAACTAGACTAGGCTAACCCACACTGGGCTCTCGTCCTTGCTCGCATCCCCCTGTTAAGGAAAACAAAACTAAAGGGGGTGAGCTAAAAGTTCAGTGAGGTTCCGAACACATATTCAACAACAAAGCCAATACATTAACCATCGATAATCAATAATTCAAGAAACATTTACAATGGAAAGCGATAATAACACATATATTAAAAGGATACGGGCTCACAGGGAGCCATTTGTTCGTTCGTTCGTTCGTTCGTTCTCCTGTCATTCCCCTTATTCCTCCAATCATTTGAAAATGCATTTTTGTAAGTAAACCCCTCGTTCGATCGTTCATTTCATTCACCCCCTCCTGGACGTTGGCCAGGCTCTACCAACCTACAAGGTAATACTCGAGTATACCAACGTTCACACCCAGGGTCACCATATCGCCCGACCGAGTCCGCTTCTGACTCGAGTCGATCGGTAACGAAGGGCAGGGCCCAATTCAGCCAAACGGCTTACATTCATGCGCAACTAGCATTTAATCATTTAATCATTGAAAATTTCACATTTATTTAGGTCGAGTGCGATAAAGTACACACTCGCCTAGAAAACTCGTTTTAACACTCATTGAAAGCACTTAACACTTTATCAATCAATAATAACAAGCCAATAAGTCAAGGAAATATAATAAACAAGGAACACTCACCTATATACGCAAAAAAACGTGCAAAATATCCTTCCAGATATTATCTTTAGTCACCAAGAAAATCTAAGATTAAACAAGAAAGAATATTACAGCTCATCTAACACAAACAATTAGGTGAAATTAAAGAACTCGACAATTGATGAGTAGAACGTATAAAAGACTTTAAAGTGAAACAAGGACATTTGGACCCGTGGACAAAAATAACTAGGGTTTCATAGTCGAAACGTAAAACCCAACTCAAAAGGGTTATAAAATTTTCCAATAGAAACACTTGAACCAAAGACAAGTCGGAATCCAACTAGATAGGCTAAGAAATACTATTTTCGGGATCGTTTATATGGTTCAAAATCATCTCATATTCAAGTAGATATTATAGACTAAATGTCTTAATGAAATTCATGTAAAAGGGAGGACAAAATACCCAAGAAAACCCTAAACCACTCCTTTTTATTTGGTAAGCGTAAGTAAACATTTGGAGTTCCCAATTGAAGAAGAATCATGTTTTAAGATGGAAAATGGTCATAGTATTTGCCAAACAAAAATATACAAATTCAAATAGAAACTTAGCCCTCGAGCGAAAATTTGGGCAGCACGCCCTTTGTATTTACCTATTTTTCCAGCCATTTATGGCTTCATTGTTTTCCTCAATCAATCCCAAAGTCACACACAATATCATCTCATTTCAATAGCCATTCCATAGGCTCAAAGTCATATAAGTACAAAAATCAAGCTAACGACATGTGCGGAAATGAAGTTTAACAAAAGACAGATTTGACGGATTTTGCGTAACGGACACATCCGAAGCTACGCTTATCGGATTGGGATTTAATTTATACCATTTCGAAGCTAAGACAGAGGGCTACAATTTTGATGAAGACCACTTAGTCCAAATTCCAGTGTAACCTAGTCAAATTCCCAATTCCCAGAACCAAATTCCAACTAATCGGCTAATTAACCGTACTACCTTTAAATGGCCATATCGCAGGCTACCAAACTCCGTTTAAGGCATTCTTGGAGGCGTTGAAAATCTAAGACAAAGAAATAAAACTTTCATGAAGACCACTCAGTCCAGTTCTCACCCTAACTAGGTCAAATTTACCAAAACAACTCCAGATTTTTCAGTTCGAAATTCACTGCAGAAATCAACTAGCAGTCCTGCTTTATTCACTCATATCTCAGCACACACAACTCCAATTCAGGTAATTCCAAAGCCATTTGAAATCTAAGATACAAGGCTATAATTCTTAAGAAGACATCATCAACCAATTCGGTAATATTCCTAGTCAAACTAACCACTTACAGAGGCTGATTTTCATTTTCGGACAGAAACAGGGCAGCAGGGGTACTTCGGTCTTTTCATAGGCTACGTTGCTCCGATTGAGATGAAATTTTGTAGGAAACTATAAAACATCATTCTCTACAAATTTCATGTTTTATGCAAAGTCTAATTCAGCCTCTATCATGATGAAACAAAAACGTGCAGAATGGTGTTTTGTGAGAATTTAAACCTGGAATTAGAACTTTGTTGCTAGAATTTCATGTTTGTTAGGTTTGAATCATCAAAACCTCCAACTAGCAACTTCATAACATCAATTAAAGGATATATGATCATGATCAAAGCTGAAAATGAAACCCTAGCTAATCATCCCCCCAACTCCAACAAAACTCACTAATTAGCCGTTGTAACTCAAAATTAAAAGCTTCTAGCCATATTTAACCAAAATTGGGAAAAAGAAAAGGGTGAAAAGCCATGATACCTTCCTAGGATGCTTGTAGGAGAAGACCACAACCTTTCCTTCAAAATCTTGCCATACAAAGCTCTAATCTTCCTTAAAGAGTAGTTTTGGTGAAGTGATTCACAAGATTTATGGTTGGAGTTTAAGATTAGGCAAGAAATTTAGTTGATGAAGATGAAGTTTCTCTCCTCTTTTTTTCTCTCTATTTTCGGCCAAGGTGATGAAGAAATGGAGAAGATTTGGTTAAATTCTTGTTTTATGATGGTTGATACAAATTAGTCAAAGCTCCTTCCAATAAGGGCTTGACATGTGTCCTTTCTAGAGTTTTCTTCCTTCTTCCTTTGGCCCACCATGGTGACTCATGTATAAGATATTTTGAGGGTTAATTAGTCAAAATAAAATGAGGAGATTAAATAAATAAAGTAGGGTTTAATCGGTGCACTCACTCGGTAACGAACGGTACACGTCAGTTCTAACCGTTTTCCTTAAATTACACGTATGTCGACCCCATTTTTTATAAGAAAAATAAATGGTTTAAAAAGTGAATTTTGGTTTGATTTTTGATTTGTAAAAGGATTTTTTATTTAAAAAAAAGAAAAAAAAAACGTAGGTCTAAATGGGACTTGAAAATGCGACGATTTGACCCAGAATAATAGTTTAAAAAGGGTTTTTAAAACAAAATCGGAGTCGCCACTTGGTATAGAGTTAAGGTGTACCAAGTCACCTAAAAATGAATTTTTCCAAGGAAAAAGTAGAAAGAAACCCCTTTTAAACGACTCCTAGTCTACATAAACCAACGAAAAAAGTTCGGGAGTCACATTTGACGAAAGGGAAGGCAAGGATAAAAATCCAAGGCACCCCTTCGACCTAGCCAAGGCTAGTTGCGTGATTTAGTCAAAGATTTTCTTGTTTTAACCAAAGAATTTATCACATTTGGATGTACTATATGAATGCAAACCCTAGACCTAGGGGGCATCGGGGGGCAAAATTTCTCTTCAAAGCTTGAATGGAGCCAATCACATTAATTGTGATGCCCAATAATGACTCTTCGGAGAGGTCACGAATAATGCAAAAATATGAGACTCTAAGAAAAGGAAAAATAAAAATAATTATACAAATATACATGACCTAAAGGAATGCATCATGTCGAGTACGGGAGACTAATGTTCGTGACTCAATTTTTCCTTTAACAGAGGGAATACGAGCGTGTTAAGGCTAGAAAGCCAAACTCGTCCATATTCCATACTCAAGGGGTTACTCCCTAACCTAATCAGGCAAATGACCCTAATGACTAGAGTGAAATGCAAAATCCTAAAGATCATATTTTGAATGTGGGAAAGGGGGAAAGGATCATGCAAAAATGTAAAAATACTAAGAAAAATGCATGAAAATGTAGTGAGGGCATGCGAGTATGTTCTAGCGAGGGACGGCCCTATTGGGTCTAGCATTGGACTAGCCCTTTACTAACGCTCTCTCACAAGCATTGGACTTGTGAGCGATCGGGAACAAGTAACCATGACTAGCATTGGACTAGCCACAGTAACGTGCATTC